GCGCCTCCGCCCGCGCCCAGGCCCGCCGGGGCCCCGGTGCTGTTCAGCCGCACCGCGGGGGTCACGGCGCTGGTCCTCACCGGGACCTGGATGGAGGAGGGCGTGGGCGTGGAAACCACTACGTCCGAGTAGTCTGGGCACAGCAGCTCCGACTTAATGGAGCGCATATCCGTCTCAGCGAACTTCTTGGGCGCCTTGCAGATGACTTCGTCCACCAAGACACCCACTTTGAGCTGCTCGACCCACAGCTTCATGCCCACCACGTCGCAGGTACAATCCCAAGGGTTGTCGTGCAGGTCGATTTGGATGAGTGACTTCAGCTGGTCCAGAACTCCACTCACCGGCAAGGAGGTGAAGTGGTTACTCCTCAGGTTCAGTCTGAGGAGGGTCAGGCCTGAGAAGACGCCAGAGGGCATGGCCTGCAGGAGGTTGTTGTTCAGGAATAGCAGCTGGAGGTTTGGGACCGGATCGAAAGTGCCGGGCTGAATCTCGCGTATGAGGTTGTACTGGAGGAAGAGATACTGCAGGCTCTGCAGGCCGTAGAACAGCTCCGGGCTCAGCCTCTCGATCCTGTTGCCGTTTAGGTAGAGGCGCCTCAGGTTGGTGAGATCCCCGAAGGCGCGGTCCTGGATCATGGAGATGCGGTTGTTGCCCAGGTGCAAGAGGTCCAGCCCGGTGGCCTCCAGGAAGTCACTCCTGCGCACCAGGGCAATGTAGTTCTCCGTCAGATACATCTTCTTGGGGTTGTAGGGCTTGGGCTGCAGCTCTGCGATGCTCTCGATTTTGCGCTCCTGGCAGTTGACGTTGAGGCCCAGATCAGAGATTTGCAGGTTGCAAGTGCACGCGGTGGGACACTCCAAAGGCACCGGAGATTTGGTCTGGTAGGCGATGCTGGGGCCATAGTTGCCATAGCCCAGGTCCTTGGAGGGCTGCCGAGAGGTGGGGCGCACCCTGGGCTTGTTAGGTTGGCGAGTCCCTTTGGGGGCCTTCAAGGGGGGTTTGTAAACAGCAGAGGAAGAAGTGGCCACGGAATTCACCGAAGCCGGGGTGGTATGTAAATACCCCGTGGTGCTCAAAGGCGTCTGAGGCCTCATCTCATAGTCTGAAATAAGTTTCCTTGGGCAAAGTTCCTGCTTGGACACCTCGTCCAAGTCCCGGCCGTGTAAGCGGAAAGGGGTCTCACAAACCACATCCCCCACCAGGGCTGAGTAGGAGATGCTGTCTAACCAATCCTTCAGAGAGATCAGCTCACAGGAGCAATTCCAGGGGTTTTCCTCTAGCTGTAACTCCACAACTTTATCCATGTGCTGCAACAGCCCCACATAGGGCAGAAGTTTCAGCCGGTTCCCCCTCAGGTCCAGGTGAGTTAAGGGCACAAAACGGAAAAGGTTGTTGGGTAAACTGGACAAGAGATTGTCATTGAGGATAAGCACCTGCAACAAATGCAGTTTCCCAAAAGCATTGGGTTCAATGACACTGATGTAATTGTAATCGACCTGTAGGTACTCCAGGCTCTCTAAGCCAAGGAAGGTATCATCTCGCAGAAGTTCCAGCTTATTATTGTTCAGATGCAATCTCCTTAAACCCCGCAACCCGTGGAAAGCCCCGGTCTCAATGTCCTGGATCACATTGCTACCCAGATGCAAAATTGAAGCCCCAGTATAATTGACAAACTCATTGGGATAGAGACGGTTCAAAAGATTTCCAGACAACAAGAGGTGGTAGATTGGGAAACGGGGAGGGCTAATTTCAGAGAGGCTGATAATCCCCCGGTTTTCACAGCTCACAGTTAAAATGCCGTCCTTTTCCTCACAAGGACATGCATTGTCACAGATTTCCCCATAATAATCGATGGTTTCTGCACATGAGAGGACGAGAGATGTTAGAGCAAACGCTAGAGTCTGCAGCATCCAGCTCTGCATTTTTCTGTGAAGGTCCTGTTCCAAAGTTACTGGGGGGCAGCAAGTGTGCATTTTATCTCCTGCAAGGGAGAGAGGAAAAAGGGAAACAACAGAATATGACCAAAAATTTAAAGGATCAATCAGAAGGTCTCTCTCTTCCCTACTGCTATTTGTCTGAAATCCAGAAGGAGGGGATATGAATGACACCCCCACCCCCAGTGGTACGTCGACATTCTCCAGACTTTATTAAAATCTGATATTCATTTTGATTTAAAGGTTGATTTCATTTCCTAATGCCAACAGGAACATACTACTCTTTATAAGATAAGGGCAGGTTAGATAGTCTCATTTTAGTGTTCTTCCCTGCTCCCCCCCTTTCAAAACAAATCCATAAATATACATAAAATGGCTGTCACTTCAGTTTCATGGTTCTAATTTAAGAGAAAAGAAGCACCATTTTACAAGGTTCCCCACCTCACCTATACCCAGTTCCTCTGCCTTTCTTTCAGAACCTCTTCAGTTAACAGTTCACCGTGAAGGTCTCCCATTTTCACAGAGGAGCCAGAAGCCACAATACTTGGGCTATTTTAAAACCATCGCTCGAAATGCCAGAGTGGGAACCTAAAGAATACTTTTCAGAGGCAAAAAGGGTGCGAGATTATGCATTAAAAGGACCCAGAAGAAGCTCTTAAATCACCAATTGTCTTCAGGAGCTTTGAGTGTGGAGAAAAAGGAGAGCGCGTTCGCTTTGATGGTGGACTTCGCTATCGCGCTATTAAGCACATCAGCGTCCTAATTGCATGCACGGTGCCACTTAGCAGCGCTTCCCTGAGAGCGCCCTGCGTCCACTTCTTCTCATTGATCATGTCAGCGACGCTACCAAACCGCATCTTTAAGCCGCTGAAATAGTTCTGCACGGTAGATTACAAAGAACTCTGCGAAGGCATCCGCAATCCCGGAACCCCTCCTGATACCTGGAGTTTAAAGAGGACGTTCCTCTCGCTTACCGGGAATCAGCTAAAAGTAAAACCGAGGACCAGCACCAAAAACCTCCCTTAGCTCGGGCTCCAAGTCAATTTGCCACAGTATGCAAGACTCAGCCTACTGAATTAGTAAGATTTGGGCTGAACTACCTCGCCAGCATCCCCATCTTTGGAGTTGCTTAGTACATTTAATTATAAATGCTTTACTCCCTCTCCTCTTCCTCCCCGCCCCTCCCTGAGGAAGGGCACTTGGAATGATTTAGAGGCAATGTAGAAGCGAGGAAGGGGGAACAGCAAGTGACATAGGTCAGTGCTTTAACATTCGAATTTCATCTCCCTGAGGAATCTATCTGACCCCCTCCCCTTTCTTTCTGGCTTTCTTTTGTCCCCTTAAAGGCTTCCTTTTACTTCCTACTTCGAGTCGACAGCAGCACTCATAAAAGAAAGGACATAAATGGAGCGAGTGTGTGTGTGTGTGTGTGTGTGTGTGTGTGAGTGCGTGTTGCGTTGGTTGGAGGAACGGGGGGAGGGAACACTTGGTAGAAATGCTGGGCTCCGGGAACCAATGTCTTTTCTCTGGTCACCCCTGCCTCTGCCTCACCACCACCAAGTCTGATGTCAAATCGCAACCCCAAACTAGAGCCAAGACGTTTCTGAGTCACGGGTTCAAGCGTGGAGACCTCGATCTTGATCCCCGAGCCGACTCCAGCCCGCGTTATTAAGAGCCCCTGCATTCGCACGCACGTGTGCAAGTGTGCCTGCGAATCATTCACGTGTGGCCACCCAGACGTGCCGAGACGAACGGGAACCACAGTGTATAAACCTCGCAAGTATCCCCGACCTCCCAACGCAGCGGCAAACACCTCCCCGCTTAAAAGCGGCAAAAGCACCTTCTATGAAAGCAAAATATTTACCTTGAAATTTCCGTTCTCCGCTGGATCAAATCTGTACATCCATTCGGCGGGGGTTGGGTCCCCTCCCCCTCCCCCCCCGGTGCTTCCCCGCCCCCATTCACCTCCCACCCTCTGACAGCCCTTCGCAAAATGTGTCCAGCCAATATTAAACTCGAGCGTTTGCAACTTTAATTCAGTCCTGGCTAGCCAGGGTCGAAGAGTCGAAGAGATTCCACTCACCCCACTCCCTTTCCCCTCCTCCTTGCCATCAAAGGAGCCCGAAAATTTGAGAAAATAAAAGTTGAATGAGCCGGAGAAGGCTGACATTCTGACTGGGAAGCGCACCTCCGATGTAAATTAGCGGGTACGCTGCACATTCTCGGATTCTCAGATTTTTTTTTTTTGGAAGGCGGAGGCGGGGAAGCTGTATTTGTTTCCCCCCAAAGAATTTAAACCCTGGATCGTCGCCGTGAACATCCCTGCATTAAGCAGCGTAGGGCCGGCGGGCTGGTGCCCGGCACCCAGGCCGGACCCGCGGCTCCGGGCACAGCTTCTCCCACAGCGGCCGAGGCAGAAGCACCCGGAGTTCCAGGACGCGAGGCTCCCCTCCCCCACCCCGCCCCAAAGCGAAGGAAGGGAAAGGGGAGGAAGAAGGGGAGGGCGGAGAGGGAAAGAAAGCCACCCGGCCGCCACACACACAGACGCACACACTGGAGCCTCTTTTGCAAAGTAAAACGGCCGACTTACCCCGTCTCACATCTCCAGGGCCCACTCATCATAGCCACCCTTACAAAAAATACCTCTTTGGGGTGTGCTCTGGGGTTCGGAAGCCCAGGCAGAGCGCGCACTGAGATCCGAGAGGCTGGAGAAAAGAGGCGCCCGGACGCCGCCAGCCCCGGGCCGCCGCCGCGGAGGCGAC